AGAGGGCAATAGAATGATCATGACTGATCTGGAATTCATTGGAAATATACAATGATATACAATGAATATCAATGAATGAACACGAATGACATAGATGAATGCAGATGAGATATGATTGGATGATATGGGATAGGGCTTTGGTATGCTTTGGTTATATAGAACGGATTGTCCGGTGCTGCACCTGGAGGCTGAACCGGATATCCCTGCGGCTAGCGCTGAGAAGGACCCAGCCACAGAGGCCACGCACATTTGCAAAGTGTCAGGGAATACTCACTCCTTCAATAATTTGTGATAGTATGTGATAGTGATTTGTCATGAATTTTCCATTTTATAGAGATTTTTTTTTGGGGATTGGCAGGATATGATAGGAATATATAGGAATTGAATGGAATTGATAGGATATTAATGGATATTATAGAGATATATAATGAATTATAATGAATTATAATGATATAATATGATATATAATTGATTGCTGTATAATTGATTACAATTGTGATTAATTGTGTAATATTGTGTATATAATTATAGTATATTATAGTATATTATAATTAATTATATCTAATTGATTCTAATTGTGTATATATACATAGTTGCAAAACAGAAACAATTTGAAGAAGGTTTGCATCTTGATTTGCCTTTCAGGAGATGAAAAGACGGTTTCTTCCGTGGAACAATTACACCCAGCCGCAAGCAGAGGCCCAAGGATGATTATGGATGGTATTAGAGGGTATTAGAGATCAGTTTCCTAGAATTTCCCAATCATTTTCCATTTTATAGAGGATATAGATGGATGTAGATATATAGAGTTAGAGGGTAGCTGGATGGAGATGGGGGTAGATGGTCATATTTGGCCCATTTTGGCCCAGTGTGAGGAGATGTGGGGACACTTTGCAGACTTCCTCTCATGTTTGCAAGCCTTGTCCAAAGAATTCATCATAGTTTTCCCATTTTTACATTTTATAGGGGGCAATAGAATGATCGTGACTGATCTGGAATTCATTGGAAATATACAATGATATACAATGAATATCAATGAATGAACACGAATGACATAGATGAATGCAGATGAGATATGATTGGATGATATGGGATAGGGCTTTGGTATGCTTTGATTATATATTGTCCGGTGCTGCACCCGGAGGCTGAACCGGATATCCCTGCGGCTAGCGCTGAGAAGGACCCAGCCACAGAGGCCACACACATTTGCAAAGTGTCAGGGAATACTCACTCCTCCTTCAATTAATTTGTGATAGTGATTTGTCATGAATTTTCCATTTTATAGAGATTTCTTTTTTGGGATTGGTAGGATATGATAGGAATATATAGGAATTGAATGGAATTGAATGGAATTGATAGGATATCAATGGAATTCAATGGATATATATATGGATATTATAGAGCTAATATTAAAGTGTATGAAGCAGTCATTTTCTGGGCCTGCAGCGGCCTTCCCCAGCATTGTCCGGTGCTGGGCACCCGGAGGCTGAACCGGATATCCCTGCGGCTAGCGCTGAGAAGGACCCAGCCACAGAGGCCACACACATTTGCAAAGTGTCAGGGAATACTCACTCCTCCTTCAATTAATTTGTGATAGTGATTTGTCATGAATTTTCCATTTTATAGAGATTTCTTTTTTGGGATTGGTAGGATATGATAGGAATATATAGGAATTGAATGGAATTGAATGGAATTGATAGGATATCAATGGAATTCAATGGATATATATATGGATATTATAGAGAAATATAATATATATATCATTATAATTCATTATAATTCATTATATAATATTATTTATCTAATATTAAAGTGTATGAAGCAGTCATTTTCTGGGCCTGCAGCGGCCTTCCCCAGGTTTGTGATCGTGGGCCCACACAGCATTTGCCCACTGCCGTTGTTGAGAGCATTGCTGGCCGAGAGGCAGGATCTGGGTACTTCCATGTCCAGTGTCCTGTAGATTGAAGAAATTTTGATAATTTTTTCATTTTATAGAGGGTCGATTGGATGGCCAATGATGGCCATATATGACTATGATATATATACTATGATTGACCTGTTCTCATCTTGTCTCAAGTTTCAACATGGTTCAACCATGTCCCGTCCATACCAATCCACTGGCAGGTTCCAGACAACAGGCCTTGTGACAAAATCAGCGCCAAAGATGCGGCGCCAGAGAAACTTGCCGGAGACTGCGGAAATTCACGAGCCGAACCTGAATCCAATGGTGAGCTGCCCCAAAAGGTAAAAAAACTAAAGTATGAAGCGAAGATCAAAGTAGAACCCAGAGGGAAACATGCCTCAGATATTTGTCCAGCTAGTGCCACGACTCCTGTCAGAAGTAAGAGTGCTGAGCCACAGGGAACATCCATTGCAAAGAGGGAGTTCCCAACAAACTTGTCGCCAGCGGAGTACGCGGCCAAGAGGGCAAAATGTGAACCTGATCAAGGACTGAAGCACTCAGATGTCTATGGGTGATGATGGGTGAAGCGTTTGCGGTTGGTTTTGAACAGTTTTAAAAGGTGCAATTCTTTTGGTTAGGAAATGTGAGGAAAACATTCTTGGAATTTCATGAGAAGCCATCGGCTTGCTGGGTCAGAAGGGCTAAAATATTGCAATGCATTGCAATGCAATATATTATATTACATTAATTTACATTATATTACAGTACAAATCAGTACAATATATTACAATATATTACAAATATCTACAAAATTTTACAAGTATTTGCAAATTATTACAATATGTTACGGCTGTTTGGGAGGACCAGAGACTCCACCAAAGACTGCGCGAGAAACACGGGCACAATCGATGTGGAGACAGCTCGATGAGCACCTCGCCCGTGGAAATCATATGATGATGAGACACGATCAAGGCGGTGAGATGCGTGAAGTGTGCCAGAGGGGCTGGGGGGAGTCCACCTTGAAGCCCCCACCAACCCACTACGTCCCACTACGTCCCACTATAAAATGGAAAAATCATAAATATTTCAGACATTTTCAGAATATTTTCAATTTTAGTGAGAACCACAAAGAAAAACCTTGGCAATCCATGGATATCCATGGCATATTCCATTTTAATCCATTTTATAGTAGGACATAGTAGGAGAATGTAGGACATCTTTGGAGGATTTTGGCGGATGTAGACCAAATCACGCTAAATTTGACCCAGCCCTAGCAATCACATGTTGGAAAGCAGCGTGGTTCTTTTGTGAGGCCAGCAAGAGAATGTGCCTGCGATGATTCTGAAATACGCAGAGATTATCAAGCGCCCTTCCACCCACTTGGAAGCAGTGGACGCTGAAGTTTTCTGTGCCCAGAATGGCAAGTCCTTAGCAATTGCCGTTGATTCTCCAGGGAATTTGGAAGTCAAAGTGTCTGTGGGCTATTGGAATGCAGTGCTGGACGCTCCGGTTGACTTGCCTGAAGTTGACCCTGAGGACCCGAAATTGTGGGTTCTTGTGAGCTGTAATGCAAACTTTGATCCCCATGCAGAAGGTAGGAACCATTGGGTGCCGGCTTTCTACAAGGGTCAAATCTCAGATGATGACTTCTTGCAACTCACTGTTGAGAAGCAGCGGGTACTTCTAGCAGAATACCGGCAGAAGAGAGATGAGCTGATCGAATTAGAGGGCATTGTAGAATCTATGAAACTTGATGATGATGACGATGACCCTGACAGTGAGAATCTGGAGATAGCACAGGCTAAAACCATGGTTGTGGACTGCCAAATGGAGATGATTAAGTCCTTTAGATTGACTAATAGTTTTTGAATGTTTTTGATAATTTTCAAATGTTTAATAATGTTTATATATGTGTTTATTGTTTATCATTGTTTATCATTGTTTATCCAGGTTTTCCTATAAATTTCCATTTTATAGAGGCTGGGAAGGTATGGTATAAAATCAGGCATTCAGTTCTTCCCCATTTTCCATTTTATAGAGTAGAGAACCCACTTAGACACCCTGTGACACCCTTGTTCCCACAGATGTTGTTTGCATATGTTTGCAACATTTTGCATTAATTTTTGATTTTATAGTCACACAATGTCACACAAACTTTCACACAACGCCATACATTCACCCTTTCCATGGGGTCAGCATGGCTGGCCGCCCAGGTTGAAGAACTTGATGGGTTTGATCAAAAGGTGCGAGGAGGCACAACTTGCCATTGTGGACGTTCCTGCAGACGGGAACTGCTTGGTATGGAGCTTGAGAGTGCTCCAGTCCGGCCAGATTCCGCAACTGGATCCACAGTGCGTGAGCAAGAAAGCAAAGAAGCAGATGCAGGAACTTCGAGATTCCATTGCTGCAGCATGGGTCACTGTCAAGGACTTCGGTTTGTGGCAAACGCTTTTCAAGTACTTCTGTGCAAACCATGTGAGGGATGATCCACCTGAAACACCACCGAAGAAACAAAAAAAGAATGCAGAGCCATGTCCAGCCAAGACTCCTGATGCTGCCACGCCACCCCGGCCAGAACCTTCACAGCCAAGACAGGTTCAGCGTGTGCATGGTGCCCAAGCTGTCCCGATCTCCAAGAAGAGGCTGCCGGAGTCTCCAAACTTGATGCAACCGCAGAAGAAGAAAGCCCGGGAATTGATGGAGCCTGAAGTACCAGATGTTGAAGAGGCTTTCCATCAAACTATGCAGGAGGAAGCAAGTCTCAGCGAGCGGCTGGTAGAGGATGTGAGACCAGAGATGCTAAGCAGTGGGGCTGCGGAGGCAGTAGCTCCCAAAAAGATTGCTCATGAGCGCAGGTACAAAAGCAGGCCGAAGACTGCAAGGGAGATCAGCATCAAGTTGGTGGACAACTTCTTGGCGGCACGGGGTATCACCTACCTTTCCCATTGCAGACTGCATCGGCAACAAGCTGTGATGAGGAAGGCTGCAGTGTGCGTGGAAGGTGGATGGAAGGAGTTCAAAGAACACTTGCTTGGGGCCCAGCTGCCTAAATGTGAAATTTGCCTTGGCATCATGAGAGATTCCAGGTTCACCCTGGATGACATTGCAGTTGAGCTGGAAGCAGAACAAGTCAAAGCTTGTGGTCGCCCCCGAGAAGTCTGATAAGGCAGGAAGCTCTGCACCTGATGGCACGCAGCCAGAAGCAGCAGGTGACCAGCAACCAGAGAACACCGATGCCCAGGATGAGGTGGAGAGATGCAAGGCATATGTAACCTCCTTCGGACCAGTGATAGAGCTGCTTGAAGAGAATGGCAAGTTTGGATATCGGTGTCGGGCTTGCAGGACGAGGAAGCAGCCTCTGGGGAAAGTGAACAAGTTGCCCAAAATGATTATGAAGTCCGTGAAGAACTATTTGGAGCAGCATTTGAATTGCCCCACTCACATTGGCAAAGTGAACATGATGAAAGCAACAGATGTGAAGCTAGACAGCGAGCGTCAGCAACCTCTGGAATGCCCAGGGCTTTGTGTTTCGAACGCTACTGGCAGTAGCTTGTACCACTACCTGCCTGAGTTCAAGTTGTGGATTTCGCACTCTCAGATGTTATCGAATGCCAATCAGCACACCTACACCTGCAAGTTGAATGCCCAGGAATGGTGGGTAAAACACCAAAACTGCCTTGGTCAGTACATTCCGGGGGATGAGGATGAGAGCTCGCCTTGCTGCAAACAGTGTCGTACCCTTGGTGAACCACACAGCATCCAGCGAAAGGTTGTGAAGTTTGCGACCAAGTTCTATGCGGCCCATTTGCTTCAGAGACGGCTCTTCTGCCAAGAGGAATCTGTCACAGCTTTGCTGGATGAAGTTGGTGCTACAACCTTTGCTCACAACAATTCCAAACTTTGGAAAAATGTGACTGAGCTGTCCAATGCGGGGCTCCAAGCTCTGGTCCGACGAACTTGGGGAAGCATGCCGCCACAAGCTCGAAATGATATCGTGAATGTTTTCTATGGCACCGTGGTTGAACCCTGCACTAAGATCCATGTGGGATCTGTGAGCTCCAACCTTGTCTGCCTTTCCTCTCAGTTTCTCGATGCGCTCTCCAACAGGGAGAACAGTGAACCTTGGCAGATGTTGGGGAAGTTTGGGGAATGTTGGGGACATCATATGTGCCGATTCTTTCCCTCTATAAAATGGAAAATAAATGAAAAATAATGAAAATAATAGAAATAAATATAAATAAATGATAATAAATGATAAACATAGGAAAATACTGGGAAACAATTTGTTATTATATGTTGTTAGATGGATTTAGATGGTTAATCAATGTTAATTATGTGTAATCCATTGAACTCCTGTACTCCATCAATATTCATTATATTCCATTATATTCCATTATAATATATTATAATAATATATAATAATTTATAATAGAATATTATTATTCAATATTATTCATTTACATTCATTGATTTTTTATTTGTTCTGATTTTTCATATTTTTCCATTTTATAGACCACTGACCACTGGAAGACCCATATCCCATCAATTGCCCTCTATAAAATGGAAAATAAATGAAAATAATAGAAATAAAATGAAATAAATATAAATAAATGATAATAAATGATAAACATAGGAAAATACTGGGAAAATCTGGGAAACAATTTGTTATTATATGTTGTTAGATGGATTTAGATGGTTAATCAATGTTAATTATGTGTAATCCATTGAAATCCTGTACTCCATCAATATTCATTATATTCCATTATAATATTATATATATTATAATATATTATAATAATATATAATAATTTATAATAGAATATTATTATTCAATATTATTCATTTATTTTTTATTTGTTCTGATTTTTCATATTTTTCCATTTTATAGACCACTGACCACTGGAAGACCCATATCCCATCAATTGCCCTCTATAAAATGGAAAAAACATGAAAAAACATGAAAATACATGAACAATCATGAACAATATTGAACAATCATGAACATACAAGGCAATTCAATGCAATTCATTTATTTCCTCAATTTTCCTATATTTTCCTCATATGCTGTCAAGTCTTTTCAATATGTTTCAAAAATGTTTTAAAATGTTTTAAAATGTTTTAAAATGTTTTAAATATGTTTAATTTGTTTTTTTAATTATTGTTAATATTTGTTAATTGTTTTTATATATTTTTTTCATTATTTTTCATTATTTTCATTATCTTTTAATATCTGTCATATTTTTGATTTATTTTTCATTTTATAGACCCCTGGAAGATTCTACCCTTATCTACATTTTGTATCCCCTTATGATCCCTCATGCGCCCTCTATAAAATGGAAAAAAATCATTGAAAACAATTAAAAAAACAATGCAAATCACAAAATACCTGGCATCCCAGCAAATGCCAGCCATATCTATGGTCCCAGAGTGTTGCCAAGGAGATGGAAGGCCTGAACGCCAAAATCGCCAAGGCTGCAGTGACCGGTCGTTTAGACCGGAATCCATTTATGCAAGGTCTTTTGGTTCAATGCCTGCATAGGATCGAGAAAGAGGAGAGAGGCATCAGCAGCAACAGAGGTCGGCGAAGCAAGTCGTGCTCGGATGCGGAGGTGAAGTTGCTGGCTGATGCGGCATTGAGCCTATCGATTCTATCAGGAAATCAGACCCTTGCTAAGGAGCTGGGACAGAAAGTCACCAAGATCACTGTGAAGCTGGAAGAACTGGCAGAGCATGGCCTCCCAAACCCAGCATTGTCTCGTATGTTTCCATCCCAGCTGGAGCAGAACTTCATTCTGGTCGATCAGCAGTTCCCTCGTGATGACAAAATGCCGGCTCGACGGCTCATCCTGGCCATGGATGGGACTTATCTGCAAAAGAGCCTGGTCCAATGCCCGATCAACCAGAAGGTTGGTCTGGTAGGTGGCTGCTGGTCTTCACAAGATGATTCCTCTGCCTTTCTGGACATCGGAGTTCCAATGAAGGGAATCGAACGTGCAGCTGTGATGATGGAATTCCTCACTTGGGATCCTTGCGCCTACAAGCAGGAGACTTTTTCAGTCTCAGCTATGCCGATGTCCCTTAGTGCACCGAAGACGTCAGAGAAGGAGACGCAGACTCATGCGGGCAACCGTGAAGCTTGGCATGTGCTGAGCATTGCTTGGCCAATCTTGGCCATATCCCATCAATTCCCACATAGTTCCACAATGTTCTTTTTTTACTAATTTTTCTATGGCCAAGCTTTTCTAAATTTGTTCAATTTGTCCCCTTCTAAGGAGATCCTGTTGACGATGTCAAAGGTCTTGACAGCAGGGGCATGGCTTGTAAAGGGGATTGTGATGGATGGCCACCATAGCCACCGGTACCTGAAGGAGTGTCTTTTTGGATGGTTCGAAAAGTTTGACAAGGCTGAGCTGCAAGGCATGGATTTTTGGCGTGATGTTTCTTACGAGGACTTGCCAAAGCACTGCCTCCCTCGCATGCCCATGCGGCTGTGTATGCATGCTGGAGAAACCATTTGGTGTCTTCCGGGCCCGTGTTTCCTGGCAGATTTTGGTTAGTTTTTGTTGATGTTGTTTTATCTTTATTTTTTTAAAAGTTTTTTAAAGCATTTTTAAGCATTTTTAAGCTATTTTTTAATTTTTTAAATATGAATTTATAATAATTTAATATAATTTATATGAATTTATAATATGATGATATATGATGTTATTTACCGACCAGGTCATGCATCAAAGAACGCAGCTGGCCAATTGGTCAGCCCTTTGCGAACCATCCTCTTCGGGCGTTTCTTTACTGACTCCAGTCAGGCCCGCCGAGCAGGCTTGCCACCAGCTGCCTTTCGCCGTGCGGAGCCCATGAGTGACAGTCTCAATGCAGTGCTGTTCAATCCATTTTATGCCTTGAGATCACCAGAATCTTGGCTGACAAAGTTGAAGCAACATTAGCCAATGATTAGTGTTAGATGATGAATATCGATTATGGAATCGTATGGGACAGCATGGACATGTATGGAACTGAATGGAATAGTTGGGTAATGTTGGGTATAGTTAGGTTTTCTATGGTTTTCTGGGGTAGTACGAGGGTACTTTTCCATTTTATAGTGGGCCCTGTCCCCACAGAATCCCAAAGCACAGTTTTTCAATATTTTTTTCATTTTATAGGGCCCTAGTGGCCCCATATATCCCCATATACCGATCCCCCATACATCCCAATACATCCCCATACTGTTATATATATTATATTATATTATAAATGATGATTATATTTTTAAATATATTAATGTAATTTAATATATATTAATATATATTAATAATATTTAAATATATTTAATAATTATAAATATATATACATTAAAGATCATTACAGCATAATTGGGTATAGTATGGTAATGTATGGTATAGTTTGGTTTTCTATGGTTTTCTGGGGTAGTATGAGGGTAATTTTCCATTTTATAGTAGGCCCATGTCCCCGCAGAATCCTGAAGCAAAATTTTTCTATATGTTTTCCATATTTTTCCATTTTATAGTGGCCCATAGTGGCCCCATGTCCCAAAGCCAAGGCATGTCCAGGATTTTGGGGGTAGTCAGGATGTTCCAACTATCTAGGAGAACTTTCTAAAGTTTGGCCTTTTTCGCCCAGGAAGTGGCTGGGAAAATAGCAGAAGTGCCATGGGCAACAAAAGGATTCCTTATCCTCAATCTCTGCATTGCCTTGACAACAGTGCCTTGGATATTGGAATGCCAGGTGTCCTGCAATTTTGTAGGGGATACATGGGGATACCATGGGTTACCCAAAAGATCCCAAAAGAAACAAAGATGAGGATATAATGTGGGAATATGTGGGAAATACGTGGGTATAATGTTGCACCTGTGAAATTGTCAATCCTTCAGAGGCTCCTTCGAACCACAGATCCATGACTGTTGAGAACAGAGCGGAGAACTGTATGAGCGGATTCCTCCTGTTGGATTTGTTCCAGATGTTGGCAAACCGGGAAGCAGCGAAAAGAGGCCTCCCCAAAGGAAGCTGCTTTTGTGCGCCTGAAACGGTGCGAAATTTGCAGCAATGTGCGCTGGGCATCCTGGGTGTGTGCATATCAAAGGCAGTGAGAGGCAGCCCGTGGGCACGTGGGGATCATCGGCTTAGTGAGCTGGGAATTGAACATCACTTCGGACGACTTCGAAGTCAATCTTCCACTGCTCAATTATCCACCAGAGGATATTGGCAGAGCAGCGCGCGGGACATGCTCAAGCGCGCCAGGCGAACGAAGCCAGCGGCTGCTACTCGTTGCGCTGCGGAGGTTGTCCCGCCTTTGACTCAGGATGAATTCTACTCTTGCTCTGAGCGAGCTTACAAGTCATCTCTGCGTCTTGTTGCTTTCTGCGAAGGCGTCACACCAGAAAGCCTTGAAGATTCATACGTTCGCTGGTGCAAAGACAAGGAGTACCTGAAGGAAGGCCCTCTGCTTGGGGATGAAGAAGACCTTGATCCGGATTTTGTCCCAAGTGGCCTAGTCAAGGAGACTGGGGCCAAGGAATTTCTTGAACAGATGCAAGTGGATGCATCATTGCAAGGAGATTTGCCAGAGACCGAGGCTGATCCCAATGCCCAGGAGATTGAACTCAAGTCAGTGCCAGATGCTGACATCTTGCTTGATCTGATGAGTGCGAAGTCGTCCAACCATGACGCAGATGACGTGCCTCCGCAGTCTCCCAGCAAGGGAACATGTTCAACAGGCATGGCAAAAAATCTGCACCACGCTTTGTGGGGTTTGGGCTGTGGGGCTTCTGAGTCAGAAGTCTTTGACAGCATTTGGCGCTTATTGATGTATCTTCGTCATTGGGGAGGAGGATGTGATCGAAGCTTCATCCCAGACCCAAGGACGAGCAGAAAACGCTCAGCAGGTTTGAATTGGTACCAGTCCCTAGGCTTTGTGCTGGATCGCTCTAGGATTATAGATTATCATAATATATCATGATTTATTATGAATTATTATGATCTATGATGGACATTTGTGGATGGGGATTATTGGAGTATATGGGGATAATTGGGTAATATTGGGGATATACGGGGTATTATGGGGTATTTTTCCCAAAAAAAACATTTTATAGTGATGTTATTTCCCAAAACATGAAATATGATGGAATATGATGGATATTGGTGGATTATTGGGGTATATGGGGTACTTTTCCAAAATTTTCCATTTTGTAGTGGTTTAATTTTCCAAAAACCAAAAGAATTGCTGCATGTTTTTTTCCTCCTAGCCTCTGTCAGGTGGAACAATCACAAGTTGAAGGAGTTGCGTGACGAGGAGGATTCGGCAATGTTCCGGCAACGCGCCTCACGTTTGGCGAAGTGGAAGGAGCTGGTGGAAGATGCCGCAAAGGCCAAGTCCATGACCCTGTCACCGCCAGATGCCCTAGAGAGCCTTCTTTGAAGAATTATTTCTGGATTTTTCTGGATATGTCTGGTATATTCTGGTAATTTCTGGTATAGTTTGGCAATTTTGGGTATTATTCTATAATATTCTATAAATTTCTATAATATTCTATATTATTCTGGTAATTTCTGGTATTTTCTGGTATTTTCTGGTCATTTGACAGTTTACTGTTAGGTGATGCTAGCATATTGCACATGGCTTCCCAATGTTCCCCATAGTTCCTCCATGTTCCTCTATATTTTGTTTACAGTACTGCTTGAAGCACCACAGTTAATTGATGTATATTGATGTTAAATGATGTTAATATATGTTAATATATGTTAATTAATTGACGCTTTTGAGGACCGGCCACGTGGCCATTGTGCTCCTGCCGAACCATGCTGGGATCCGGTGTCCGACTGTGTGTCTATGCTTGTCGGTTTGGACATCAGTAAAAAATCCAAAGCTTGCGACCAGTGCCGCTTCTCTGGGTCATGTCGTGGCCGCTCGAGTCGTGCAGATGAGAAACCATGAGAATCCTGGCACATACTTTTGTGATGGACAGTGCAGGGCCTGGGTTGTCAAGCCCCAGTCCTTCATTGCGATTTTGGCATTGCACTCTTTTGGGGAGGACGATTCAACCTTTTCGGCGACGCTGTCTGATGAGTCGATGAAACTGGTGGAAGACACAAAGTTTCTTGAAGGAAAAACATGGAAAAGACATGAAAAACATGAAAAAACAATGAGCAACTCAATATTCAGGAAACATATGGAAACAATTGGAAACATCATGAAACATCAGGGAACATGGTAAAATATTGTAAATATTTGTAAAATTTTGTAAATCAATGTAAATCAGTGTGAGATGTTCCAGGATTGTACCACTATAAAATGGAAAAAAAACAAAAACACATACATCAAATATGTTGCAATATGATGGAATATGATGGAATATGAATATCCATTTGTTTGATAGTTCATTTTCATTTTTTTCATTTTATAGTGGTCCTGGGTCCTGGGAAATGCTCAGATATGGTTTATATATGTTTATATTGGTTTATAATGCATGAACAGGGTGCTACTCAGGATTTTTTCCATTTTATAGTGGGGAAATGTGAGGAAAACATGTAAACTCCAAATAAATCAAATGTTTGCAATCCATTTCAACCTCGCACCTGCTCACTCAGGTCTGCATCAGACTGGTGGCCTGATGATGAAGATTGGGGTGATGAGTCTGGCAAGGGTGTTTCGGCAAAGAAACCCCACCATCAGGGTCTATTTCTTCGTGGCCAAATCAGAAAACGTCGGGCAGCCAGAGCAAAGGCTAAGGCCAAGCAGGCACAGAACAAGAAAGAAAAGTTGAAACAGAGCAAACAGAGCAAATCCAAAAAGAACAAGAAAAAAGAACAGAAGAGAAAACTCCAAAAACAAAAACCTCAGCAGACCGTAGAAGAAAGTGTGAAGAATTATCGACGGCAAGGAATCGGGGTGCTGCTCGTCCAGCAGCAAATGGATAGAGCTCGGAGGCTTGACAATGCCAAGTTCCCAGGAAATTTGATTTTCTCCAATGAGAACGACATTTGTCGCCTCAAGATCGAGAATTGCAAGGATGTTTCATGGTCGAAGGTTCGCGAGGCAGCTCACCCTTACCTCAAAGTTACGTTTCTCGGCTGTCAGGGCCGCCCAACATCTCTGGACAGTTTTTGAATGTCTTCTGGGGCTGTCCAAATGTTTCAGACAGCTGTCACATATTTGTAACATTTCAGACAGGCTCCAAAATTCTGATGCTTACCCAATTTTACCCAAATAAAATTGAGCTATACTGAGAATTACTGAGAATTACTGAGATATATTGAGATCTTGCGTTTGTTCACCCAAGTGAGCAGAGGTACCTATCTTTGAGCTCTCAGAAGTGGAGTGAGACAGTTTCGGGTCGGTTTTCTTCCATCTTTTCTGCATTGGAAAGCTCGCCACCGGACAGGAAGCGGTGGATGCAGTTAGTGCGGGAAATTTGCGACTTCATAGCTTGCCTTCCATCCGAGAAGTCAAAGGATCCACCAAGCACCACATGAATCCAACATTTTTCAATTTTTTTCTGGATATTTCTAGATTTTTCTAGAATTTTCTGGAAACATCATGAAACATCAGGGAACATGGTAAAATATTGTAAATATTTGTAAAATTTTGTAAATCAATGTAAATCAGTGTGAGATGTTCCAGGATTGTACCACTATAAAATGGAAAAAACAAAAACACATATATCAAATATGTTGGAATATGATGGATATGGGTATCCATGTGTTTGATAGTGTATTTTCATTTTTTCCATTTTATAGTGGTCCTGGGTCCTGGGAAATGCTAAGATATGGTTTTTATTGGTTTATAATGCATGAACAGGGTGCTACTCAGGATTTTTTCATATTTTTTCCATTTTATAGTGGGGAAATGTGAGGAAAACATGTAACTCCAAATTAAGCAAATATTTGCAAACCATTTCAACCTCGCACCTGCAGCTATTGTATGATTTTGTGATGTTTGAAGCGGATCCTCTCGAGATCTCTTTTGCGATAGTCCATGAAGCACCATGAAGCGATAGCGCGGGACTTTGATCAAGCTCTCCAAAGGCTAGACTTTCCCACGATGTCTACTGATTTATTTGTTCTTGTTTGGGTGCCTATTTACCACCAACATTCACCAACCACTACCGACCAATGATCCAATAAATTTTGGGGATTTTTTTTGATGTTTGGAGAATCTGATTCAATCCACGGGGGTTTTTCAGTGTGCGGCAAATGCATTGTTATTCAATGCTCTGCCAGCGCACATGTGTAAACAGATCACACTTTCGGTGAAACACACTTCGGATCACTTCAGTGATCTATAGTGATCTTCAGTGCGCAATCTGTGTTGAAAAATATGCCGTGATATGCTGTGTCTTTGGAGCAATGATGCTGGGAAGGCTGTGGCACTATAGAATGGAAACACCCAACCCCCAGAAAATCCTACCAGCAAGGGCATGTAATCTCTATAGAATGGAAACACCCAACCCCTGAAGAAACCATTCATTTTTGGATGTTATAAAATTGAGGCTATATACAGGGGGTTGGGGGTTCCCATTCTATAGTAAAAAGTTGGCCATTTTCTTCATTTTAAGGCTAGGCTCCACAGTACGTTGGGGCCTCCCATTTTAGAGTGATGGAGGCTTTTGCAGCAAATTTGTAGCTGTAAATATTTGCTTTTTCAAATGAATTTCCTATTTTATAGAGGTGCACCTGTTTTGTGACCCTGGGTGTTTCCATTTTATAGAGGTCCCATTCTGGGGGGGGGGTGGGTGCCCCCGTTTTAGTACTATAAAATGGGAAGGCCCAACCCCCCCACTTAATCTAGAAGGGGATTGTTTTTCCATCTTTAGAAGCCTCTCACTCCACGACTGTGCAGACTGGCTCGCACCTGTGTCCCCTAGTGGGTGTGGCACTCAGAAGTTCTTGTGGGAGTTGGGGTCCGATTTGAGGGGGAGTTTAATGACTTGAGGGACTGGGATATAAATATAATTCGTATTGACGGGAATGGGATATAGCTTATAAATTAGTTGTAATTCGTACATCTTGACATCTTTTCGTTTGTATTTCGGTGTGTGCCGAACTTATGAGAAAACCTACAATGTGGCCCCCTCCAGTTATAAGTTGGTTTATAAGCCCCAGTAACTATAGTAACTATAGTTATAAGTACCATAAACCATAGTTATTGGAGTTATAAACCAACTTAGCTATCTTGGGGGCCTCACATTGTAAAAATCCAGGGAATTTTACACTTTTTTAAGATCCAGCAATCCGATAACCCCCTCGGCCCGAACCACGCCAAGCCTCAAAGCCTTGCGTCGATTCTTTGACCGGAATGGGTCGCCGGGTAGCTTTCCCAGCGATTGAATCCTCCACTTTTCAACCTGGGGATTTCCAAGGTACCGGAGGGTAAATCCCCAATGAATCCTACTAGTGATTAATGGTGATGATCATCCTATGGGTAAAACAAATGGTTCAGCATAAAACTCACCAGAAAAATCACTATTCACCATAAATTATATGATTGAACTGTCATGAACCAGTGATTACCCATAACGCAGCACCATCCAAAGTCCCAGTTTTTTTGGACCTCCCAAAGTCCCGAGCTCAGGTTTGGCTCATGGTGATCTCAATGCGGCCAACATCATGTCCGAGCCACAATGGAGTTCGGCGGATGTTGTGTGTCCCATGATGGAATGATGACATCATGGTTAATAGTGGTTGATCGTGTTTATGAATGATGGTTCATAATGGTTACTGTAATCAATGAATCATGGTTAATCATGAATTATACTGGTTCATGATGCTTGATTGATGCTTGATCCAATCTTGGATTCGTGTGAATATGAAGAGAACATCCATGAAACGTCATGAAACGTGTCGGTGATCCGTGCGATTCTGGTGTCTCCTATGTTTGACATACCAACGAAGCAGTGGATTCTCCAACATCTTCACATTTCCCACGCAATGAAAAAACAAAACAGCTTCGACATGTCCAAAAAAGGTCCCAAAGTAACTTCTGGTCAGTCAACATCATTTTTTTATTTAAGAATATATAAAAATCATATTCCGAAAGCCAGCCATTTTGGAAAACCCACGAGTTTTCCATCATAGTGGAACATCGCTATTACTGTAATCGACTTTGATCACCATCATAAATGGTAGTTTTATCATGGTTTTATCACATTTTTTCATCCATAATATGAGTTTTAAATCTTTGGATACCATTTTTAAAACTGTGGACCCCCAAGATTTTCACCAGGATCGATGCTCTGGACGCGGTGTGGCTCATCGATTTCGCGACCTCGATTGAGTCGGGGGCTCGGTAATGTTGTTAAAACATGCTTAATCATCACTAGTGGTCAAGAATTAATGGTGCATCTTAGTAACACTTAATAGTTAAATTTGGTTAATATTGATCCATATTGGTTAATGATTTATGATTTTTTAATGGTGAATGATGGTTAATAAAGCTAAATAGTGGTTTAAAATGCTTAATTATAGGTAATTACTCATGGCCAATAATGGGTCATAATGGTTAATAGTGATTCATGATCAATACTGGTTAATAATGGTGAACACTGGGTACTAACGGTCAATAGTGGGTAATAATGCTTAACAATGGTTTATAATGGTTGATAGTGGTTAATAATGGTCAATGATGGTGATTAAGGGGATTTACCCTCCGGTAATCAAATGTGGCTATAAATAGAGGATTTTCCATTGCCATGTTTGATTACCAGAGGGTGTATCAAATTTGCATGAAGATAAATATGTGAATTTCTTTACAGCGGAGCATATAGAGATATATATATATAGTGTACAGATTGGTTGAACTGGTGAAGTGTGACCACTTTGTTTCAACAAAGTGGTAAAGCTCCTATCAACCTTTCTTGGGAAATATTGAGGGATCGGTTTCAACACCTCAGAAGTCGGACTCCCTCGGTACTTGTGGATTTCGGCAATGTTTGTCAAACAATTCCCACCTAATGGAGCGCATCCGATGGCGTGTAATCATGTCATTTGGTCAGAACCAGAAAAAGCATGTTTCAAACCAGCTATAACTCGAACATCCCTAGACATGTATAGCTTTTATATATATATATATATATATACATATATATATATATGTAAACCATCGTAAACCAAAGGGTCCCCCTTCCATCACTTGAGCCAGGTTGCCGCTCTTCACGGACATGTGCAAATTTGAGATGGCCTGTCTCTTCGAATACGTGTCCTGACTGGATGAGCACCTAAAAAATGCCTGGCAGGTGACCAAAAAAATATTGGAAAAACACCCTAGAAGTCATGGCATAAGTGTCAAAAGTACTAGATTCTGGTGTACTCGAGTTTGGGATCCACAGATGTCAAAACCGATGTTCGTGTTTTTTTGGGGATGAAACAGCAGTGCCAGCTTTATTGATGTGAAATGATGTGAAAGGAACAGGGTAGTGTAATTTCCTTGGTTTTGACCGATACCCATGCTGTGAAGGGGTCAAGCGGAAGATATCGAATTATGCATCACCGATCATGTCCGATAAAGCCTGCTTATTCAGCAGGGAACTTCTCCATGTTTGACCCGTCAAAAGCTCCGAAAAATCAGTTGTGAGGCATCGGTACCCATGGCAGCATCCAACAACAGCACGGTCTTGTCGTACTTTTCCACTGGGTCAAACGCTAAGACCTAGAACATAGCTGATTGGTGGTTTGGAACATTTTTTTAATTTTTCCATATTACAGTATTGGGAACAATAATCCCACCTGACTTTCATATTTTTCAGAGGGGTTGAAACCACCAGCCAGATAGGTTCTTTTGTTCATTTGGATTGCACTTGGATGTCCCATTTCGATCCATACTTGCTAAAGTGGTAAAAATAGCCCATTTATACATCAATAGTGTAATATGTATATATATATATATATATGTACAACCCACATGTAACAGGTCAAATTCTATCATTTGCATTGACAAAAAAGTACGGTTGTATATCTACTTAGAAGAGGAACTGCCACAAGTGGTGAAGAATATATGAACAGACTTGGGGGTTGACGTTCGAAAATTAGCATGACTTAGCATAATTTTTAAGCACGAATAGGGTGTGTTAAAGATGTTGGGCTGCTTGGCTGCTGTTCCAGTTAAAACCTTCAGGCCACCATTCCCATCACGCCCAAGATGCTCTTGGAGTTGGGGGAGCCTAGAGTTTGCTTGCTGGAGATCATAATGCAAGATATAAGCCACGTAATGAACTATGTTATGTTTGTCTACCTATGCAGACAATTGCAGACATATGTGTAGATCCACATATATATATATATATGTATATAATATTATATAATAATATAATATATATATATAGGGTCAAGGCTGGGGGTTCCCCGGAGCTTCCAGGAACCCTCAGTCTTGTCATGTACTATAAACGTCGTTATGGTATAGAGATGGGGGGGTGGGGGGGTGGGGGGGGTGTCATAACGTCATGTGGACTGCGTTGGATTGAGACTTGTTGAAACCTTGA